GAGTTACTCACCGATCGGCCAGCTGACGATGAAGGGGCCGCCCGATCGATGTATCATATGAGGGGAGTCGACAGAGGGTGCAGAATGCATCCAAGTGGATTAGGGGATGATCGGGCCAGCTGACGATGAAGAGGCCGCCCGATCATCAATCAAATCTAATCAGCAGTCAGGAGACTGCTATTTTTTCGGAACCCCCTGCGCGTCACAGATGTGATGAGCCCTGATCCGTACTTCGCGGCTTTCCGTACCCTTGAGGAGAAACCCCTCCGAAACCCCCGAAGTGCGAATACGAACAATGGGGGGTTTTCTTTTTTTTGCTTTCGTTTTTGTTTCTCGCTGTTCTTTTCCTTTAAACTGGTAGCTGGGAATAAGTTTCGCGCGGCCAAATAGCGGGCGCGTCGAATTTCAAGAAACAGTTAGGACTTAGTGGGGAAGGAAATGGGGAATTTCGGAATTTTGCATGACCGGCTGCTTTTTTGAATTTTCGCACGCTACGCAAACTCTTTCTCTTGCTTCGCATCCCTGTGCCATCTTCCTTTCTTGCTGCGCGCGCTTTCGTCGTGCATTGACCCTTCGTCTTCCTTTATGCAAGCCCGATCCCCGCCTCGCCTTTGGCCGAGAACGATTGGTTGAGTGGTTGGGATGCTCGAATAAATGTGGAAGGCGCGAAAATGCGCGCAGCACTTGAACGATCACCCCAATCACGCAGGACCAGAAGACTTCTCGACATCGACCCTTCTCGAACCCCTGCCCTTCCCTTGCTCCCCGCGTCCTGTGCCGACGCCCCGCTGCCTCCCGCACTATAAATTCGCGCAACCCCCTCCTCTCCCTCTCTTTGATCTCGGCTGCAATGCTGCGCGAGCTATGCGCAAGGTCCGCGGCGCCGAACAGGCTTGACGAGCCCCTGTAACGGGTGGAGTGACGACGCGGGTCGGGCTTAGCGGTGGACTCGGGGTGTGAGAGCCGAAGGGACAGAGCGGTGGTGGAGATCAGATGCTGGCAGCGTCAGGGCCTTGTGGCTATGGTTGTCGGTGGCGTTGATGGATTGGGGCTGCGCCTAGTTGGGCCAGTTGTGTGAAGACGTTTTTGTACAAGGAGGACTCGCTTTTATCTCCATTCCTGCTTTGTCCACGCATGGTGTGTGTGTGAGGCCCCGAGTGGCGGGACCTTGTTGTATGCATGGGTGGTGTGAAAATCCATGGATGATTGGATGTCCTGTTGATTGTTGTTGATTGCATGCATGTTGATGTATGCGGGTGCGTACTTATCCGGGCAGGGACCGGGGAAGCAATCCGTGATGACCATCTGCTTAGGGGTATGATTGGGTTGATCCCGTCGCTCCCATCCCTTCCACGGCCCTTGGGTCTCTGGGCCGCCCCGTTGCGAGCGAGCGCGGCCCCGGTGGCGACTCTCTCTCTCTCTCTCTCTCTCTCTCTCTCTCTCTCTCTCTCTCTCTCTCTCTCTCT